CCACTCCTCTCTCCTATCCTCATACAAAAAGTACTTCCCTTTCTTCTCTTAATTTACTGAACAATCATATTTTTTGTCATGCCAGGTCCTTCCTGACAGTACCCTTTATGATATTTTGTAGAATCCAAGTGAATGTGGAGAAAACATAGATTCAGGACAATCTCAGAATTTTATGACTTCAGAACTGGTCCTTTCCTTGATGTCCAAGTATTACGCTCACTTAAGTTTAACTACTCATGGGTGTGATTCTGACACTGGCTGAGTACCTCCGCTCCCACAGAGCTCACACTTTCTGTGCATCCTCATCACTTCTCAAAGGTCAAAGACCAGGTCAGGATAAAATCCCTCACCATCCCTCACATTGCTTCTTTAAGCAACCCCTCATATTCACTGCATTTTCCCCCACAAAACCATCTTTCTGACCACTGACATGTACCAAACATATTAAACAAACTACACAAAAATATCAGGACCTTGAAACAAGAACCCTTGGAGAAGAGAGACGCAAATTTACAAAAGGATTTAAAATAAAATTCTTTCCTCATATACTGAGCAAAAGATGTAAAAACTTGACAGGGAGAATCTCACAGTCAGCAAGGACACTGACAATTTACTAAGCACTGCCATCCCAGTGGGACTGTGCAGGCTCATCCCTGGATAACACAAAGCACGGCTCAATAGTCTGCCTTTGAAAGGTAAAGATTCATACCTCATGGACTTTTCTGCACAGAGACATGCTGCATTAAATCCTGGGATGAAACATATTCCTCAAAATGAAAACATGGAAAATTCCTGCTAAATGCCAAGTCTGAAGCAGTCATGATTCAAAGGGACAACTTGAGCAAAACAGGTGCCAAGGATGTCTGTTCTCTGGATTGATTTACAAACTAAGATTCTTCTAAAACCATTGGACGTTCCCCCTGTCTCATGTGAGCATACAGCAAGTCGAGTTCAATGTATCTTATCGCCATCTGGAGACTCTACAGGCAAGGGTATCTTCTCTGTTGAGCTTTTGAATAGCATTAATTTTCATCCAGCTGAAATCTCTGTTCTGAAGCTGTACAATCCCTGCTCTCCTCCTTCATAAGTCAGGTTTATGCCTTTTCCATGTGGTTTTGATATACTCGTAGAACTGGAGGCCAAGCAAAAAAACAGCCTAATGCCTCAAGGAAAAGACCCCCAAGATAAGAACTCACACAAAATATTATTCTGAACATCACTAGGTACTGTTTTCTGCATTGTTGCTCTTCTTAGCTATGACCTTTCATAAATGATATCAGATGGTGTTTGCCTTATCCAATAGCCTGTACCATTGTTCAAGGCATGCACGCACACATATAACATTAATTTCTCTAGCCTATTAATAAAAGCAGAAGAAAACAACAACGGCAAATAGGGTACAGATTTATACTGATCTGTTTCAGCAGTCTGCTTTCCTTTCTAAATTATATTTATGCATTTTCATTTCTAGTTTCTTTAAATACAAATATTACTGACTAATTATCTTGTTAGCATGATGGACACAATCCAAAAACCTAGATAAATGTATGTCACAATTTCAGTTGTGGTTACAAATTTTGTGGCCTGAGTCACAAGTGATTGAAGACTTTAACAAGCATGCCCAAGAAAGCTTGACTGCAAATGAAGTTATCTTTATTTCATTTTCCCTATAAAGAGAAGATTTAGCTCAGCATATTACTCGCAGAGATACACAAAGCACAACGGCTTGTTTTGGGCTGCTGCCATTAAGTTTCATGCTGCATCCCCATCTAGAGTCATTAATCTTTTACCACCAGGAACACAATTAATCATCGAGTGGTTTTTGTTTGTTTGTTTGTTTTTTTTCAGAGAAAAAAGAGAAAAATCATAGTAATTTTTATAGAAAACATTGCAAGGTAGTCCATCAATAACAGTAATTTTTCTTCTCAGTACACACTAATAGATTTGCTCACTGAAACCTGCTTGTCTTTACAGTATACAAAAATGCAGTAATCTAAAATACATATAACCAATTAAAAAAAAAACACACATGAAGAAGCAGGCTGCTTAATTGTGCTGTATAAGGCAATAAATGTCCTTTTACTGATAGGCAAACCATAAATAAAGAACGGATAGGGCTGAGAAAAATATGTTTACGTTACTTCAGAGGTTATTTTCAGATGGAAACATTTTTCCATCTAGCTCACAACACAAAATCTTTGCCTGAACTGTGATGCGAGTTTTTATTCAAAACTTAGTAAACCCAAAAATCTTACCAACTTCAATGGCAGTTTTACTTGATTTAGTGCATGTTACTTGTGGATACAGAAAAAAATCATTCTATGAAAGCATATGAATTGATGCAATCCCCTCACCCCCAGCTTCACTCACATTCTAGGTCAGAAATGCCCATTGCCAGTGGTATAAAAATCTCACTCATACTGTTCTCAGCCTTTTAGGTATGAGAACTTACTTGAGCTCAGCTCTCATTAAGGTCAATAAGAGTTCTGCCTGAATACAAATGACGATCCAACCACCTTCCACCCCTTCAAAATATGACATTTGCCACATGGATTCATATACATCTTCATCGTTTTCCTTAGACATTTTACAACCTAGTAATTCTTTAAAATTAAACGTCACAAGCTTTTCTCTTTTTTCTTTTCTTTGTTTTTAAGAGACACACAGAAGACAGCCTATAGACTGCCCTGCCTTTTTTTTTAATCCATAAGGTAATTGGCTTTCTGGAGAACTAACTGAATTTTCCAAATTTAATTTTAAAAGATGCTCCATAACATCCATTATAGCAAACACTGTCCTGCAGATTCGATTAGTAGGCTCTCTGGACCTGCTTATTTCTGAATTGAAAGTGCAGTACAGCCTGGATAAATGAATTACCTGAGCAGCGGAACTTCTTGCTCTTGATCTGGCTGATTCGTTTGTTGGCAAGGCGACGCGGATTGCTGCATCGAGCGCCGCTGGTTTCTATCGGATTATCCTGCAGGTAATCAGCCAGCCACTTCAAATGGCAGTCGCACACAAATGGATTCTGAGCTAAATGTCTGTGAGAAGGATGGGATGTTTAATCAGAAGTGACCTGTGGCACTGTACTCCATCACTGTTTTTCACAAACGCAAACCTGAAGAGTAGAGTAATTGAATAAGCTTCCAAAAACCCAGGTCTGGCGGAAACCACACGGAGCTGCACATGAATGGGAGAATTCTGTGAGCTATCACATTTCGTAGCTCATTAAGCCTGTTGCAAGTCCTTTCACAGAGAAAACAAAAATTAAGATAGCAAAGCCTGCTTTAAAGGACACTCCTCCTGTCTACAAAGTCCAATGTTTTCTCCTGAGAGCTTGACATGCTGCATTTTGAGAGAAATGCACCTTTTTAGATGTACCTGACCTGAAGATCATTTCGTATCCTGGTTTAAAAGAAATTTTATTGGCAAGCTTAGTTTCCTAGGGATCAAAATGTGAATTAAAGTGCCTTGGATCTGTGGGCAAAGCCAAAAGTGATCCAGAGGTCCTTTCTCAATGGTGAAATTGACATTTGCATATATTCATCATGCATAAGAGTATTCCCCTTATATGTATTTCTTCCTGGAGAAAATATTTTTACTTTTGAGACTGAACTGTTTATGCAATGTAGAACTTGACTCTATCTTTCACCAAAATTTGCACAATATATTTCCCACACAATTGGAAATAGGTATTATAGCATTGATTTTAACTGGATGTTTGGACTTTGTTAACAGAAATCTGCTGGAGTATCTTAGAAAAAAACAGCATTTCTCTGCTGCTGTTATGATTCATTCTGCTTGACAAAGTTGAGCACTATATCAGGAGAGTTTGTCAGGTCTTTGTCAGGGCCTGATTTTGATTTCAGTTAAGTTAACTTGCATCAGTCCCTCTAACTTCCAAGGGAGTAGGACACAGCTCTCCAAGAACTGAAAAGGCAGTTTAAAAAAAGACAGATGTTTAAATTTGGTTTGGACAGAGGTGTAAAGTTATAGCCTCACAAGAACTCTGCTCTGTTACTGTTAGTGTATTTTTTCCACCTGTAGAAACTTCTTTTCTCTTCTGTTTGCAGTTACATTTATGAACTGTCACTTAACAGAGTAAGTATAAAATACAACAGGGCAAGGGCTGTCAAGGAGCGGGAAGTGAAAGCATATATAGGACAATGTGCCTGAAGAAACTAAAGATTACTGCTGTAGTAGAGCCATTCCTGGTGTGAAATGTCCGAAGAAAAAACAAGCATATAGAGACAGGATAACGAACTGCTTTTGTAGCTCCAGAAAAAAAAGCAGAAAATGGCAATGACTTGGAGTACTAGAAATGGGAGAATGAATCAAAACATTTCAAGAAAAGGTGTCTTCATGTGAAGTAAGAAGTCCACTCTAAGTAACGGCCACCAGGAGTGCCAATAAAACCCTATGGAAACCAAGGAGAAATTTTTATGCCTTAAGGGTGTTACCTGTTGTTTAACAAATCCTCTACATGTACCTCTGTAAATGAGCCTTCTCTGTCACCCTTGTTTACATATATATCTATGTACATATATAGCATGCTGCAGCAGAAGAAAGCATGGTAGAGGTGGGGGGGCAGGACTGGAGGGGGTGTACAACATTATTCTAATGCTTTAATGGTCTGCAGCAATACATACTGCACAGATATCTGTTGGAAATTAAGTTTGTGCTTGTGGCTACCTGAGGATGTAGCAGGTACCCTGCTGCTAGAAATCATTCCTATTACTTCATTTTCATAGAAATTAAAACATTTATAAAACTACTTTGGTCAATGCATTTCCAGTATTAAAATACATATACGCACGTGTATATATACATTTCCAGCACTATAGTATGTGTATACATACACTTATATAATGTGCATATATATTCCAGTATGTGTACATATACATACACATATATATTTTAATACTGGAAATGCATATACTTACATACTACATAAACACACAGAGCCTTATATCCATATATGCACACACAAATATATATAAACACATGTACACAATATTGGGCGAGGGGGTTCTTCCTTGTTTTTCATTTATATCAGGCTGCCAACTCCAGCTATGAGGAAGTGCTGTTTCCCTTATTATCTTACTACTCACAGCTTTAGGATGAAACCTTCTTCTGTAAAATATTGAGAAATTTCTATACTTTTGCTTCCATTTTTGCTTCTGATCCTCCTTCTCCTAATGCCTCCAGTTCAAAGACTCTCAGAAAACGTTTAGTGGATTTTCATAATGGATCAAATAATACAATGCATCATTTCCCAGAAGTGGAATGTCAGCTGAAATAGGTTTCCGAAGTCACAAACTGTACAGCAGGACTCAGATCCAGTAAGGAGAGATGCCAACTCACCAGCTCATTAAAAACTGTTAGGCAATGGTTTCCATAGAATATACTGGTCATATATTGTATAGAGACAAATTTACGTATTATCTTTCCAACAAACAGTATGAATGAATTACTCTGGGAGCTTAATGCACTTATGATATTTATGTCACTATGGGCAGGCTGTATTGATAGCTGGCTGTGCTGAATTTATGCAATACTTCTTTTTCTTGCTCCTTTTATTTCTGTCAGAAAAGGAGGGGCTACTACCTTGGGGTCTCTTCCAAATTGTCTTAATGTCAGATGCAAAGCCTTTGCAGAGACAGGCAACA